TGGGTCGAATATCAGGAAAAAATTTCTGGCGGCCTTTTTCTGGTATAATACCCGGAAAAGATTAGAGAATAACGAAATCGTGTAAAAAATAAAAATTTTAAACAAAAAAGCAAAATTAAGTGGCGTTAATGAGGTTCAAGATGCGAACAGGTACACTTTAGAATACCTACTGGCATAATATTGGTAAATTGTAAAATTTTCGTCGCCGATATGAATTTCGTTATCATATGGGGTGATATGGGAGAAGAACGTACGATATATGACGTCGGATACGACATTGGGCGTGGTTATACAAAAAAGCTAAATTAAGTGGCGTCAATGAGGTTCAAGATGCGGACAGGTACACTTTAGAATACCTACTGGCATAATATCGGTAAATTGTAAAATTTTCGTCGCCGATATGAATTTTGTAATCATATGGGGTGATATGGGAGAAGAACGTACGATAAATGACGTCGGATACGACATTGGGCGTGGTTATAGGGTCGATAATCAGGAAAAAATTTCTGGCGGCCATTTTCGGGTATAGTACCCGGAAAAGATAAGATTATAACGTATATCAACAGAATATATACAATTTTTTTTATGCGGAGGATGAGTCAAGTTCTGATATGACTGATAGTTCGATCGCGACATTGGGCGTGGTTATTGGGTCGATTATCAGGAAAAAATTTCTGGCGGCCATTTTCGGGTATAGTACCCGGAAAAGATAAGAGAATAACGAAATCGTGTATAAAATAAAAATTTTAAACAAAAAAGCTAAATTAAGTGGCGTAAATGAGGTTCAAGATGCGGACAGGTACACTTTAGAATACCTACTGGCATAATATTGATAAATTGTAAAATTATCGTCGCCGATATGAATTTCGTTATCATATGGGGTGATATGGGAGAAGAACGTACGATATATGACGTCGGATACGACATTGGGCGTGGTTATAGGGTCGATTATCAGGAAAAAATTTCTGGCGGCCATTTTCGGGTATAGTACCCGGAAAAGATTAGAGAATAACGAAATCGTGTATAAAATAAAAATTTTAAACAAAAAAGCTAAATTAAGTGACGTCAATGAGGTTCAAGATGCGGACAGGTAAACTTTAGAATACCTACTGGCATAATATTGATAAATTGTAAAATTATCGTCGCCGATATGAATTTCTATATCATATGGGGTGATATGGGAGAAGAAAGTACGATAAATGACGTCGGATACGACATTGGGCGTGGTTATAGGGTCGATAATCAGGAAAAAATTTCTGGCGGCCATTTTCGGGTATAGTACCCGGAAAAGATAAGATTATAACGTATATCAACAGAATATCTACAATTTTATGCGGGGGATGAGTCAAGTTCTGATATGACTCATAGTTCGATCGCGACCTTGGGCGTGGTTATTGGGTCGAATATCAGGAAAAAATTTCTGGCGGCCATTTTCTGGTATAATACCCGGAAAAGATTAGAGAATAACGAAATCGTGTATAAAATAAAAATTTTAAACAAAAAAGCTAAATTAAGTGGCGTCAATGAGGTTCAAGATGCGGACAGGTACACTTTAGAATACCTACTGGCATAATATTGATAAATTTTAAAATTTTCGTCGCCAATATGAATTTCTATATCATATTGGGTGATATGGGAGAAGAACGTTCGATAAATGACGTCGAATACGACATTGGGTGTGGTTATAGGGTCGATTATCAGGAAAAAATTTCTGGCGGCCATTTTCGGGTATAGTACCCGGAAAAGATTAGAGAATAACGAAATCGTGTATAAAATAAAAATTTTAAACAAAAAAGCTAAATTAAGTGGCGTCAATGAGGTTCAAGATGCGGACAGGTACACTTTAGAATACCTACTGGCATAATATTGATAAATTGTAAAATTATCGTCGCCGATATGAATTTCGTTATCATATGGGGTGATATGGGAGAAGAACGTAGATATATGACGTCTGATACGACATTGGGCGTGGTTATAGGGTCGATTATCAGGAAAAAATTTCTGGCGGCAATTTTCGGGTATAGTACCCGGAAAAGATAAGATTATAACACCCGGAAAAGATAAGATTATAACGTATATCAACAGAATATCTGCAATTTTATGCGGGGGATTATCTGCAATTTGATATGCCTCATATTTCGTTCGCGACCTTGGGCGTGGTTATTGGGTCGAATATCAGGAAAAAATTTCTGGCGGCTATTTTCGGGTATAGTACCCGGAAAAGCTAGAGAATAACGAAATCGTGTATAAAATAAAAATTTTAAACAAAAAAGCTAAATTAAGTGGCGTCAATTAGGTTCAAAATGCGGACAGGTACACTTTAGAATACCTACTGGCATAATATTGATAAATTGTAAAATTATCGTCGCCGATATGAATTTCTATATCATATGGGGTGATATGGGAGAAGAAAGTACGATAAATGACGTCGGATACGACATTGGGCGTGGTTATAGGGTCGATTATCAGGAAAAAATTTCTGGCGGCCATTTTCGGGTATAGTACCCGGAGAAGTTTAGAGAATAACGAAATCGTGTATAAAATAAAAACTTTATACTAAAAAGCTAAATTAAGTGGCGTCAATGAGGTTCAAGATGCGGACAGGTACACTTTAGAATACCTACTGGCATAATATTAATAAATTGTAAAATTTTCGTCGCCGATATGAATTTCGTTATCATATGGGGTGATATGGGAGAAGTAAGTACGATAAATGACGTCGGATACGACATTGGGCGTGGTTATAGGGTCGATTATCAGGAAAAAATTTCTGGTGGCCATTTTCGGGTATAGTACCCGGAAAAGATTAGAGAATAACGAAATCGTGTATAAAATAAAATAAAATTATCGTCGCCGATATGAATTTCGTTATCATATGGGGTGATATGGGAGAAGAACGTACGATATATGACGTCGGATACGACATTGGGCGTGGTTATAAGGTCGATTATCAGGAAAAAATTTCTGGCGGCCATTTTCGGGTATAGTACCCTAAAAAAGATTAGAGAATAACGAAATTGTGTATAAAATAAAAATTTTAAACAAAAATGCTAAATTAAGTGGCGTAAATGAGGTTCAAGATGCGGACAGGTACACTTTAGAATACCTACTGGCATAATTTTGATAAATTGTAAAATTATCGTCGCCGATATGAATTTCGTTATCATATGTCGTGATATGGGAGAAGAAAGTACGATATATGACGTCGGATACGACATTGGGCGTTGAATATAGGGTCGATTATCAGGAAAAAATTTTTGGCGGCCATTTTCTTGTATAGTCCCCGGAAAAGATAAGATAATAACGTATATCAACAGAATATCTACAATTTTATGCGGGGGATGAGTCAAGTTCTGATATTACTCATAGTTCGATCGTGACCTTGAGCGTGGTTATTGGGTGGAATATCAGGAAAAAATTTCTGGCGGCCATTTTCGGGTATAATACCCGGAAAAGATTAGGGAATAACGAAATCGTTTATAAAATAATAATTTTAAACCAAAAAGCAAAATTAAGTGGAGTTAATGAGGTTCAAGATGCGGACAGGTACACTTTAGAATACCTACCAGCATAATTTTGATAAATTGTAAAATTATCGTCGCCGATATGAATTTCGTTATCATATGGCGTGATATGGGAGAAGAACGTACGATATATGACGTCGGATACGACATTGGGCGTGGTTATAGGGTCGATTATCAGGAAAAAATTTCTGGCGGCCATTTTCGGGTATAGTACCCGGAAAAGATTAGAGAATAACGAAATCGTGTATAAAATAAAAATTTTAAACAAAAAAGCTAAATTAAATGGCGTCAATGAGGTTCAAGATGCGGACAGGTACACTTTAGAATACCTACTGGCATAATATTGATAAATTGTAAAATTATCGTCGCCGATATGAATTTCTATATCATATGGGGTGATATGGGAGAAGAAAGTACGATAAATGACGTCGGATACGACATTGGGCGTGGTTATAGGGTCGATTATCAGGAAAAAATTTCTGGCGGCCATTTTCGGGTATAGTACCCGGAAAAGATAAGATTATAACGTATATCAACAGAATATCTACAATTTTATGCGGGGGATGAGTCAAGTTCTGATATGACTCATAGTTCGATCGCGACCTTGGGCGTGGTTATTGGGTCGAATATCAGGAAAAAATTTCTGGCGGCCATTTTCGGGTATAGTACCCGGAAAAGATTAGAGAATAACGAAATCGTGTATAAAATAAAAATTTTAAACAAAAAAGCTAAATTAAGTGGCGTCAATGAGGTTCAAGATGCGGACAGGTACACTTTAGAATACCTACTGGCATAATATTGATAAATTGTAAAATAATCGTCGCCGATATGAATTTCGTAATCATATGGGGTGATATGGGAGAAAAACGTACGACATATGACGTCGGATACGACATTGGGCGTGGTTATAGGGTCGATTATCAGGAGAAAATAGCAGGTGGCCATTTTTGGGTATAGTACCCGTAAATGATTAGATAATAACGTATTTCAACAGAATATATACAGTTTTGTGTGGAGGATGTTTCAAGTTCTGATATGACTCATACATAGATAATAACATTGGGCGTGGTTATTGGGTCGATTATCAGGAAAAAATTTTTGGCGGCCATTTTCGGGTATAGTACCGGGAAATGATTAGATAATAACGTATTTCAACAGAATATCTACAATTTTATGCGGAGGATGAGTCAAGTTCAGATATGACTCATAGTTTGATCGCGACATTGGTCGTGGTTATTGGGTCGAATATCAGGAAAAAAATTTCTGGCGGTCATTTTCGGGTAAAGTACCCGGAAATGATTAGATAATAACGAGTTCGTGTATAAATCAAACATTTTAAACGAAAAAACCAAAATTAAGTGGCGTTAAAGAGGTTCAAGATGCGGACAGGTACACTTTATAATACAAAATGGCATAATATTGATAAATTGTAAAATTATCGTCGCCGATATGAATTTCGTTATCATATGGGGTGATATGGGAGAAGAACGTACGATATATGACGTCGGATACGACATTGGGCGTGGTATCATATGGGGTGATATGGGAGAAGAAAGTACGATAAATGACGTCGGATACGACATTGGGCGTGGTTATAGGGTCGATTATCAGGAAAAAATAGCAGGTGGCCATTTTCGGGTATAGTACCCGGAAATGATTAGATAATAACGTATTTCAACGGAATATCTACAATTTTGTGTGGGGGATGAGTCAAGTTCTGATATGACTCATAGTTCGATCGCGACATTGGGCGTGGTTATTGGGTCGAATATCAGGAAAAAATTTCTGGCGGCCATTTTCGGGTATAGTACCCAAAAAAGATAAGATTATAAAGTATATCAACAGAATATCTACAATTTTATGCGGGGGATGAGTCAAGTTCTGATATGACTCATAGTTCGATCGCGACCTTGGGCGTGGTTATTGGGTCGAATATCAGGAAAAAATTTCTGGCGGCCATTTTCGGTTATAGTACCCAGAAAAGATTAGATAATAACGTATTTCAACAGAATATCTACGGTTTTGTGTGGGGGAAGAGACAATTTCTGATATGACTCATAGTTCGATCGTGACATTGGGCGTTGTTATTGGGTCGGATATCAGGAAAAAATTTCTGGCGGCCATTTTCTGGTATAGTACCCGGAAAGATTAGATAATAACTTATTTCAACAAATATCTAAAGTTTAGTGTGGGGAAATAGACAAGTTCTGATATGACTCATAGTTCAAAGGTCTTATCGAATAAAAACAATATTTGTATTACATATTGTTTATATCCGATAAAAACTATACAATGATACGCAATGAAAATTATAAATTTCAATTTTTTTGTCGAAAGCTTCTAATACGACTCATAATGACGTAATAAGTTATTTTATAATGTAATCTAACGATGTCGTACCGTTAATTGAATAGGAAAAAAAATATTGCGTAAAAATATATGCTCACGAGATGAATATGTCGTGTAGAATATACGGAGAACACGAACGAGCGAAGGCGAATAATAATCAAACGTATATGAAAACGATGTAGGAGTGTTTAACGGTAAATTAGTAATACCATAGTGTATTTGTCGAATAAGTATCTGATAATAGCTCGAATAATAATTTAATTGAAAAGAGCGTATGTAATATGGAACGATAACGAGTTCGTGTATAAAATAAACAATTTTAAACGAAAAAAGCAAAATTAAGGGGTGTAGCGATTTTTCACTTCGAATGCAATCGATATGCATCGATGCATATCCTATTAATGAAACAGTATTAAAGATGAATATCATGAAGTTAGTAACAATGGTTTATGGTATATTAATATCATTTGCCACAATGTATTTGTGTGAAATAAGATTTTTAGCAGTAGCCGTATTATAATCAAAATATCGGTTCAGACTCAATGTGAAAAAAGTAATGCGTGCTGCAGTAACTACGTTTATTTCTTTTTTTGAAACACAAGCGCCTTAATTCCGTCCTGCGGAAGGATCATTAAAAAAAAAAAAAAAAAACATCAGTTCTAATCTAACATTCATTCGGACTAGTCGTCTACAGTTTTATCCGCTCCGTTATCGTTTACCTATTTCTATATCATGAATTGTTCAAATTGCAATTGTGATTTGGCTACTGCCGACTGTATTCAATGTTCAAAATGTTCTAAGCTATTCCATATTGCGTGCTCGTCTATTGTGTGTTTAACGGGCAGTATTCTTAAATCTCGTTGTTCTTCGTGGCTGTACACTATCTGCGAGGGTGCAAGACTTGGAGTTAGAAAATCTCCGGTTATTTAACAGTTTTAGATACCAATTATATATCTAAAATTAATAGCATACTTTCGGCTGTGAATGATATAAAAAAAATGGTTTCTAAGCATGATTCGTCGTTTTTGGTGCTCAATAATAAACTTGGCGATTTTTCTGGTCAACTGCGGGACTTAGGGGTTCGTACTTTAGTGCTCGGGAATAGAGTTACTCAGATGGAAAATCGTTTGTTTAGCACTGAATCTACGAGCTCTCCCTCGGACGAGTCCATAATATCTGAAGTTATCGATCGGCAGGCAAGAGCTCGAAATTTAATTATTTTTAATGCTCCAGAACCAGATGGAAATAACGAAAATGATATATCGCTTATAAAATCTGTCTTCCATGTTTTAACTCCTAACATTGCTCCAGCAATAGTCTCTAGACTGGGTCAAAAGACAAGCAAACCTCGGCCACTTAAAGTTACTTTACATGAGCCTTCCGATATTTTTATTATACTAAAAAATAAACACAAACTGCGTACGTCCCCTATATATGGTTCCATTCGTATTTCTCCAGATCGTACAATTATGCAACGAAATCAACTTCGTGATATCATGGGGAAAATCGAGGAACGTAAAGCAGCCGGTGAATCCAACTTAGTGATGAAATTTGTCAAAGGTGTACCAAACATCACAAAAAACTAACAAACGGGCCAGTTCACAAAAATTTAAATGTCTACTATCAAAATGTCGCGGACTCAATACCAAATTAAATGTTTTAATGCGTAATGTATATTTTTCTGACTTTGATTTTATCGGCTTATCTGAAACTTGGTTATCTCCAAATATCAATTCGTTTGAATTAGGTCTTTTTTGCTATAATACTTATCGCAGCGACCGAAACCAGAATACGAGCAGTCGTTCTAGAGGTGGGGGTGTTCTTTTATCTGTCAATAATAAAGTTCATTCTCGTTCATTACCTCTACTTATCAGTTCGGTTGAACATATATTTGTCATTGTTAAAAAAAACAATAGTTATATTATAATAGGTAATGTGTATTTTTCACTTCATACGGATATATCAATTTACGATGAACATTTTAACATTTTTAATAATTTATTTTTAAATTTTCCTTATGTTAAAAACGTAATTATGGTCAGCGACTACAATTTTCCTAATTTTCAGTGGCTCACTAGCTCTATTGGTTTTTTTCCTAATTTACTTAACTTAAGAAATTTTGAGTCGGAATTCTTATCAAAATTATCTTTTCTAAATATTTTTCAATTTAATAATGTCCATAACAGTACTGGTTCAATGCTTGACTTACTTCTTTCTGGCCGTAATAATTTATCTGTAAAGAAATCTGTAAATTCTCTTGTTCCGTGTGACATCTATCATCCGGGCCTTTTAATTTTCATTCCCATAGTAATAAATGAACCAATTGAGTATAATTTGTGTATGTATAACTTTTTTAATTGTAATTATGAAGATATAACTTTTAGTTTAGCTTCGATAGACAAATTGACTATGACAAATTATTTAAAGTTCTTAGTATAAATGAAGCTGTCGGCTTGTTCTATTCTACTATTTATGACATAATTGATATATTTGTAACAAAAATAATTAAACGTCAGTCTAACTATCCACCATGGTATAGAAAAAATTTAAAATAATTAGTATTTAAAAAAAAAATTGCTCATAAAGTGTATAAGAGTTCGGGTTTGGTGAGTGACTACAATACTTTTTCAAATCTTCGTGGAAGATGTAAGTTTCTTTCGAAAAAAGATTATACGAATTATATAAATACAATTCAAACAAATTTAAAAACCAGTCCGGATCAATTTTGGAAATTCATAAACAGTAAGCGTAAAAATAATTTTCTGCCGAACAGTATGCATTTAAACTCGGATCAATATGATAATCCCAATGATATTGTTAATTCCTTTGCTAATTACTTCTCTAGTGTGTATGAAAATTACGATTATGGCAATGTTAATTTTAATCCGCATAATCTTCCTAAGGTTCTTTTTTCTTCTTT